AGGGAAATCAGAGATTTTAAAAGAGTGATACCACTACTTGTTTATGGTGTCTAAACTTACCTCAGCCTCTTCTACATGTTGTAATGTTTTAGAGTGTGTTGCTGGGTTGCTTCTCCTCCCTCCCTATATTTTCTTCCTAATTTATCTTTTCAGTCAAATGGCTTTACATGGTGTCACGGTTTATGTCTGTGTCCCCCAGGCCTCATGAGTTTGCATTGTGCATTTATGATGGTTCATTGTCTAGTGCTTGGATTGATGGTGTCAGTGCTACACCCACATAGGGGTGGAGCTAAGATGTGATGTAAGGGCAGGAAGAAGGTGTGTCTTGCTCTTTTGCCTGTTTCTGCCTTGCTGTTTGCAACTGCCATGAACTGCAGCCCAGCCATGCCTGCCTGCCTTGGAGCCAACTGAGTATGGACTGAAACCTCCAAAAACTGTAAGAAATAAACCTTTCCTTTCCCAACTTTGGGCTTCAGGTATTTTTGTCTCAGCAATGAGTAAAAAGTAACTAAGACACATGCATCTCCATATTCAGGATTCTTAAATTTATATCTCCAGCTCAGAACTCTCCAGTTCAACTCACACATTCAATCATCTACTTGATATCTTCACTTGGAAGATACATAGGTAATTCAAATTTATCACATCTGATGTATAAGTTGGTTTACCAACCTCAACCACAAAATTTATTCTTTTCTAGTCTTCTGTATCTCAGTAAATGGCACCACTGTCCAAAGAGTTATCCTACCAAAAATCTAGATATCATAATAAGTCCTCCATTATTCTTATATATCAACTAATTCATTGACAAGTTTTGTCATTTACATTTCTAAAAGAATGCATTTCATGTGTATCTCTCTTCATCTCTATTGCTACCACATTGTTGAAGCCACTGTCATCTCTCAACAATTCTACCTCAATATACATATAATTCTCTATTTATATATCATAGATCCAATAGCCAATAGTATTTTAAGACTATAATTATATGCTAATTTACATTTCAAGTGTAATTATCTAATGTATACCCAGTACTAATACAGTGTCTGGAAAATAACAGATCTATAATTTTTTATAGACTAATATTTAGTAATATCCCCATACGTCTCTAGTAATCTCCAGTCTCAGTTTCCAAACCTTTTCTGATGTATCTACAGACCTATTCATTCACAAAACCATACACTCATTTGGTGATTGTTTACTGAGCATTGTATTAGCTGGGATTAGGTTCAGCTGGGTGTTTCACAATGTCTGCCACTTATATTTTTTCAAGGCTGGAGATGTGCACCCAAAGGTTAGTGTGACAACTGTATGAGCTATAAGCCCTGGTTTCTTGCATCAGGCTGCTCTGTCTTACCCAGATAGTAGGTTCCACTTGGTGGTCTAAAATGGCCACTCCAACCCCAGACATTACATCTGCATTCCAATCACCAGGAAAGAGGAAGGACATGAGGAATGCCATATCCTCTCTATTTCAGGACCATGACTTTGTTTTTGTACCTGGGATTGAACTCATGACCTTCAGCTTGCCAGGAAGGCACTTATGCTGCTGAGCTCAATCCCCGGCACCCTCTCCATTTAAGAGGAAACTCTGGGCATGCGAGCAGGCAGGACCAGCAGACAGCAGGCCCCTGGCACAGACACACATTGGCAGCCTGAATCAGTGACATGGGAAAGTCCTAAACAACAGTGAGAATATGAATCAGCAGTTTATAAGTTAGGTGAACCAGTGTTATGCTCCAGCTCACAGACAAGCAGGACAGAAACAGTGGGCAGGGCTGCCACTCTATATCAAAAGGCTTCAGGAGAACTCCAGCAACAGAAGGCCAGCCTCCACATCCAGGGGTCAGAATCAGCCCGATCCCAGCACAAATCCTACCGCAAACTCCGCCAGAGTGCTCAGCACATTTCTAGGATCCGACTTGGACACAACCACAGAACTGTGGTATTTTACTATTTTCCTTTCTTTTTGATTGGTTTTCCCTTTTTCTGTCTGGTTGATTTTTTTCTTTCTTCCTTTTTTCACTATTTAGGTCCTTAACTTTCTTTTTATTTTCTTCTATTCACCTTCTTTCTCTCTTTCTTCAAATATTTCTCTTGATTTTACAGTATTTTCATGTGAAAAAACAGTGTTCTTCTCTTTCTGGTTCACCTCAATACTATTCACTTTCCCTTTCATTTTTTTACTCCCATGTTCTCCAGTTTCTCAAACTTAAGTGCTCATCCTTTTCCCTCTAATTACTCCTCTCTATCTTATCCCCCTTGCCTCTTAAATTTCCCCCCTCGTGCAACACAGTAAAATCACTTTGCTAAAGGAAAATCATTACATATAAGTGTCTGGAATATGTTGGATTTTGTCAGATAACTGTAAAACCTGCTCCTATAGTTACAGGTATTAGGTTAACAGTTGCCACAGTTTGTCAGTAGCTAGGCTGTGCTTGATACTATTGTTATTCCTAACCATACTACTTTAGCTAGGATGTTATAATCAGTTATAATGTTATAATCAGTTTTTCTCCCTTGGAAGACAACACTATGATTGTCTGGGGTCATAATCAACACTACAGTTAGGACCAATGAACTGAATGCTCAGTTTAAATGGACAGCAACTTCTTATTCATAATAAACTAAGAAGCTATGTTGTTGGAATAGACACAAAGACCAAGAACCACCTACATCTAGAAGACACTCTTGAGGGAGAGACATTTCTAAGAGAAGCTTTAATGCTAGTGATAAAACTCTGCCATCTGGAATCTACAAGCATCAATGCAAAAAAATAAAAATAATGACAAGATGCAAAAGCAAACTCTACCCTGGACTTACAATCCATTCAGGACAAGTCCAGAACAAAAAAGGGATAGAGACAATCAGAAACCACCCACTGGAACTTCCTGAAATGTTATCAGCAAAAGTAAAAAAAAAAAAAAAAATGGAAGATATAGAAAATATGGTCTCTCAGGTAAAACATGAAATGTTGACCAAAATGAAAGATATTAGAGTAGACACAGATTAAAAAAAAAAGTAGGAGCTTAGGAAACTGATAGCTACCTTGAATACCAATATAGGAAAGAAATGGAATCCATGACACAGATCCAAACAGAAATTCAAGCAACTAAAAACTCCACTGAAAGTCTGAGCAACAGATTGAATGAAGGAAACAATAGAATATCAGGTGTAGAAGAGAGGATTGTGGTTAGGGACGACAAAAAGAAAGATATCACAACAATAGCAAAAGCCCATGAAAAATCACTCCAACAGCTGCAAGATGAGGCAAAGAACAACAACACAAGATTGACTGAAGTTAATGAGAAAGCTGGAGATAGTGTAAAGGCCATTAAAAAAAAAAACCTCTTCACAGAAATAATGGCAGAAAATTTCCCAAACATGGATAAAGAATTTGAAAAACAAGTAAGTGAAGTATATAGAAATCCAAATAGCCATGACCAAAATAAATCTACAGCAAGGCACATAATAATTAAGATTCTAGAAATTCAGCACAAGAAGAGAATATTAAAAGTGGTTAGAGAAAAGAAACAAATCACCTATGAAGAGAAGCTCAAAAGAATTGTAACAGACTTCTCAATACAAACATTCAAATCAAGGAGGGCTTGGAGTGAGGTATTTCAAGGCCTAAAAGAAGACAAACTCCAACCCATATTGATGTACCCCACAAAACTATCTTCTAAAATTGATGGAGAAATAAGATATTTCCATGACAAAGAACTGAAGAAATTCATAACCATCAAATCAGTTCTTCAGAATGCTCTGAAGAATTTACTAGAAAGAGAAAAAAGACCACAATCACAAGAACACCAATAGAAAGAAGCAAGGAGGCAGAGGAATCAATTAAACAGAGAAGAAAAACATGGACCCAACAGTAGGAAAATAACATGAGAAAAACAAGCCAATACCTATCAGTTATTATCATCAATGTAAATGGTATCAATTCACCAATCAAAAGATGTTATGTTTTTTTTTTGTAGTTATGTATTATGTGTAACCTTACACTGCTTTGTTCTGTTTTGTGTTTTTCTCTTTTTCCTCTTAAATAAAAAAAAAAAAAAAAAAAAAAAGACAGTCTGGCAGAATGGATCAAGAAGCAAAAATAATATGCTGTATTCAAGAAACACATTTAGCTCAAAAACAAATTCATAAGACCAAAAGTCAAAGAGTGGAAAACAGTAGTGCGTGTGACAGGAACCCAGAAAAAAGCAGAGATAGTTATTCTATTTGCAGACAATGTGAATTTCAAGCCAAGACTGATCAAAAGAGATGAAGAATTTCATTGCATACTTGTTAAGGGAAAACTCCAAGAAGAGCTAACAATCATAAATATATATGCACCAAATACTGGTGCACTCAACTACATAAAACAAATATTAACATGATGAAAAATCAAATAAGCACTAACACAGTTATAATTTGGGACCCTAATGTCCCAGTATCACAATTAGATAGATCAACTAGACAAAAACCAACAAAGAAACATCAGAATTAAACCAAACCTGTGAACAAATGGATTTGGTAGATGTCTACAGAATGTTCCACCCTACAACATTAGAATACACATTCTTCTCAGCTGCACATGGGGTGTTCTCCAAAATAGACCACATATTATCCCATAGCATATACTTAAGTAAATGCAGAGGAACTGAAATTAAGCCATGCATATTAATCTGACCATAGTGCAATGAAAATAGAAATCAGCAGCAAAAGAAATCACAAAAACTACATAAACAGTTAGAAACTAAACAACAACACTCTGCTGAACAATCAGTAGGTCACAGAGGTGATTAAAGAGAAATCAAACAGTGTGTATAACTGAACAATAATGCCGATTAAACATACCAAAACTTACGGGATGCAATGATTCTTGTTAACCTTTTTTAACTTGACTATTTTAAGAAGACAATTTATAAGAACTACAACACCAATAGCAAAGAAATCAGCAATGGCACCATGTCAGAAAGGAAGGGGGAAAAAGTATTACTGTGACTTACCGTTAACCACTGGTTATCTAGTAGCTCCTTAGCTGTGATTCTGTGAGCTGGATCTACTTTCAGAAGTTGTTTCAAAACACTTTTAGCTGAAAATAAGAGAAAAATCCTGAAAATCTTTATTTCTCTTAACTACTATTGATATCACATGTTTTATAATTTATTTAGGATTAAGTCTATGTAACATGAAGGGAAGATGTCAAGTACCAGCAATGGATGCCTAATAAATAAGGGTTAAGTTTAAAGTGAAGTTTTATTGTATGAATTATCTAGTTAGATGGTATATAGTAAAAATTAGCTAGATAATCAGAAAACTTCCTCTTTAGTTTTACTACATATTTTCTGGTTTGGCTGAGTTTTTGACTATGAAAAAACATAGTAAAGATACTGCTGTTTCCACAAGTAGATGGTGCCTGTTTCCGAAGTAATTTTATGAGTGTGGTGGTTGTGTTTGCCTGTTTCAATATGACTGGACTTGAAACTACCAAGGGCATTGGTGGTACACACTTCTGGGTGTGTCCGGGTAAGTCATGGAGGCATGACCTTGGTACTGTATCTGGTTCCTGCCCCTTCTCCTGGTGCTGCTCCGCACTCTGCTTCCCGGCCTCCATGAACTTAGTAGCTTTGCTTCACCACCCATATTCACTATGATGCTCCTGCCTTGGAGCCTGCCAACCATGTACTGCATCTCCTGAAACTAAATAAAATCTCTCCTCCTTTAAATTGAGGATGTTGAGACTTATGTCCCAACAACAGAAAAGCTGACTGATACAATGACCAAACAGATGCTTAAAATGATCTTAGTACTGGCCAACTTCCTTACTAAATAATAAACAATCTACACTTACCACCATCACTTACAGAATCCCAGATTGAATCTTCAAAACGTAATTCTCCTTTTCTTATTAACTCAAAAAGCTTCTCTTCTGAGTTTGCCAAAAAGGGTGGTTCTCCACATAATCTAGATAAATTTTAGGCAATGATTTTGTTTCAATATATAAAAGCTAATCAAAATAAGGCTGTTAAAGGTAAATTTCTGTAATATTTGGAACAGTAATACTTCATATTTAAGCGAAACACTGGAAGAGAAGAATACTTCTCTACATGTAAGAATAGAAGCAATGGTGTTTCTAAAACCCATGCTCAGTTCTTGTCTCAAAACAGAAATGCCCTAGTAGAGGAAGTATACATATATACATTGAAAACTTTAGATTTGCAAATGACTCAAAGCTCTTATGAGCAGGAAAACATTTAAGCTTAAATTGAGTTAAAATACAGGAAGGCATCTGAGTTCAAGTCTACAATATAAGTGGTGTAAGCAAGGATAAGACAATAGCTTCAGATAAATACATAATACAAACCACAATTATGGAAACATGTAAGAGTTGCCAGAGTCTAATGAGAATGGTCAGACTTGAATGACTATGTGAGACTTTTATCCATGGTAAAATACTATACAAATGTAACTAATTATAAAAACAGAATAACCCTGAAAATTTCTGCATGCTATGAGCAAAAGCAAAAAAAAAAAAAAAAAAAAAAAAAAAACATTAAAGTGGTCACAACCTTGTAAACAGTGGTGTACAAAATGAAGATCAGGATAAGAACACAGATGATGACTTGATCCCTCAGTCTGAAAGGGTGAAAGTCGAGAATACACAGCATCAATAAAACCATGAGCAGTGTGTATAAAGTGGGCCTGTTCAAGGAGTTACACATATTTTAAGAACATGGCAAGCCCATGAAACTAGTGCCTCAACAAGTGATCTAAGGCAAAACCACAAGAATACGCTTAAAAGTTGAGTCCAGTTCTTCAGAGTATATTCTTAACAAATGTTAGCCATCGTCATCATTGTTAGCACCCACATCTGAGGGCACCCCTGTAAACAACACCCAGATGCACCTAATAGCAATCAGATAAAAACTGGAACTAGAGTCATTACAGAGGTAACTCTGTATGTCTGCTCTTCAAATCTCCGGATACTTTCACACGTTGTTATTAAAAGAATAAAATGGCATAATTCCACTCCACTTTCCAAACTGCTATTCTTAGTATGATAACCTCCAAGTATTTTAACATATTTTTACTGATTTTCCTCAGTTATATTTTTCATGTTACTTAAAAATATAACTTAGAAACATTTTCTCAGTAAATCAAAATTTGATAAATAATTTTCATCATGATGATGATGATTTCCCAGGGAATAAAGTTACTTTCATCCTAGTAGTTCATGAAAGTAGGCTGGAAAATAAACCTTTTCAATTACCAGCAGGTTCTTGTTAGGAGATCAGTACTTATCAAATTGTTAGGCAAACCCTTAACACTTTATTTCTACAACTCATTCTGACATCATGCTCTTCTCTCATCTTACATTGCCAATGTTTAGTTTAAAACCGCAATTTAAAAGGCCATAGAAAACAAAAAGGCAAAAAAATTGCCTCATAGAAATTACTGTATATTATAACAAGTGCCGGCCAGCAAAAGCCCAGCTCATTGAGTCTGTTATCAACCAGTGATATGTACATCTAACAATTTCTTGGCTGCCTCTGCATTGCCTGATGATCATGCAACTATAGCTCAAGGGCTGTATTTTTTAAATTCCACTTTTTTTCTATCTTTGCAATTTTATTTATACAAAATGTATCTAATGGTTGGTCACTCAGCAGTATACAGAATTTTATGACAGCAATTTTCTCTCACATCTAGAAAAAAGAATCTAAGACATGAAAAATATCTCTTAAAACTTTCCTATTATTTTCTGATACATTCATTGGAATCTAAACAACAGAAGATAGTAACCATAGAGAATATATATTTACTTTAATTTCACTTTGAGAAAGTATGTTATCATTGTCCAATTAAGTAGAAATGAATCCAACATAACTGAGAAACAAAAAATACCTCCCCTAGAGAAAGTAATATGCTTGTAACTCTTGGTAAAGGAAATTATCTATAACACTTCTGGCCTCAGACAGAATAAAGAATACACATCGATTAGCTAAGTTAAGAGTATACTGTAAAGAAACAAAGATGCTCTTATGATGATATGGAGCCACACTATAGAGCAGAAAAATTTAAATTACATCTTTAAGAGAAAGATTTGAAAATTGTAATTCACTTACTTTCCTTAACACCAAATTCAAACTAAGAAAATATCAAACAGCACCTGAATTTTGTAATATTTCATTAGACATACTATATTTGACTTGTATCACCTAAAAAGTCTTGAAAGTATAAAAGAACAATTTTAAATAATTAAAGATGGAGGCTCAGAATTTCTGCACTGGGATTCTAATCAGTACAAAACAATGATCAAAAATATTATGACTACATTTATACTTAATAGTATCTAGCCAGTGAGGTGTGTTGACCAATTGAATTACAGCAACAAACACATTATCCAATTTCTACTGCCTGCATATTTCATTTCACAAAATGGTGAAAATGTAAGTACTGTGATGTCATATTTAGAAACCAATGAAATGACATACTGCATAGTGAAATCTTCAATACAACCATGAAAGCAATGTTGTATAAACAAAAAATACTCATATTTACCAAGAGGCAGAATAAAGGTCATTAACTTTTCAGAACAACTCTTAGAAAATTCACTTAATTCAATTTAACAAACATATGGAGTACCAAATATGCACCTATTAGTGTATCAAATGCCAAGGATGCAAAGATAAATAACCTAAGATACCTGTTTTTCAGGAACTTAACTAGACACAGTATACATAATAATATAGTAGTATAATATAAACTCATTTTACACTGTGTTATTATTCACACATCAAAGTGTGAACATATGTAGACCTTCCTGACTAAATAGTCCCACGTTATTATTTTTCATTTAAATATAACTTTCCTGTGTATTTTTGCATGATGCCTTAAATCTTGTATGGACTGTAGAAGGAAAATATATAGTAAATGTAATAACTATGTTGGGGTAGGACAGACATTAGGGAAATAAACAGCTTTAATGTTTGAGTTGGGTCTACCCAGGAGGTAGATTTGTAGAGAAGAGAAGCGTACGTGCATGTGCACACACACACACACACACACACACACACACACACCAACAGCAAGCAGTGCAGAGGATATCTGAGAAATGAGGTGTGTGGAGTGGCCTAGGTTGTCACAGAATAGAGTAGGTGTACAGAAAGACACACCTAGCCTAAGCCTGGTAAGGCACACTAGAGTTAGGACATGAAAGGTTAGCTAAGCTGTGTCATGACAGGTTGCTCTGATAGTTTTCAGTAACAAGAAGTAAATATCAGAGATATCAGGAAGTAGTATGATCAGATTTGTGATTTAGAAAGGCAATCCTGACAGCACTGTAATAACTGAACTGGGAAGGGTAACCAGAGACAGGGAGAATAGTAAGACCATGGAAGATTTTAGAAGAGGATTACAAAGGGTAATGAAAGAATAGGTAAGAACATTTCAAAGGATAAAAATGTAGAAAACTTAAGATTTGACTGCTCATAAGAGTGAAAGAGAATAAAAAGAATTACTATGTTTTCATTATCATTAAGAGAACTGGAAGGTAGAGAACATCCCTAGACCCTAGAGAAACCTTTCTCTAGTTAGTGCCCACTCCCCACATGTGCCCATATGGGCAGCTGTAGAGCCAGGTGGCAGTACCTGATGTGTACAAATCTCATGGAAAAATACAAAGAAGCTTTTGGATTGCAACAAAGAATCAAGAAGGTGTTAAAGACAGTTTTCACTTTGCTCTCACCATACAGCATATTGTTACATTTATAGATCAATGAAAAGCAAAGCTGAAAGCTTACATTTACAGTATTAAAAATACCTTAGGGATGAATCTGACAACTAATAACAGAGCTTTAGAACAACTTCTCAATTGGTTTTTTAATCACTTTAAAAAATATATTGCTCAGTTTTAATCTAAAATCCATGTCCTTCCACTATCAGAGACTATCCATTCATTTTCAACTGCACATTTAGCAGGGTACTTACAAAATGTACATTATGACACCTATGCTCCAAATGTCACATTGCCTGCTATAGTCATGGGCATTGATAACTTCAGGTGCTGCCAAATAAGCAAAAATAAAATAATGTTAATAATACAATAAATGACTTTTAAATACTTAAACACAAAGCATGAAAAATGTGCTGGTGTGTTGTAATTTATTCCCCTATAGGGAAAAAAGAACCAGCAGCAGATGTTAAATGAATAATGTACAGGCCTTAACAATTGATGTCACTGTATCCTCACTCCTATCATTTAGCTTCTAATGGAACAATGGCATAAAAATGTACAACTAAATGTGCTACTTTTTATTCCTGTGAAATTGTTAAGAAGTGATTTTGCAAAGATTGTGTAGTTATAGAAGACAATATCTCAGCCCTTGCCCCAAAATAGATTGAAAATATGCCTTAAGTAGAGATAATTTAAAACAAGCACATGTAAAATTTGAATTCACAGAGAAACTAAAATAGTTATATATCTCTTTAGTAAAAGAATAATAATAACAACATCACAACACTCCCATGACAAAATAGAAATTATTTTCCACGTTTTCTAAATGAAAACTCCAAGACAAAGATAGCCTCTAAAAGACTAGATCAAAAAGCTACCTCCCAGGATGGGACTAGGTCCCAAGTGTTTGCAATTCCCTGATTCTTGGCTCCTTGCTTTCCAAAAGTATTCACAGTAGAGTTCCCTGAAACAACCTTCTCAATGGGGCACCATTCTTTTAACTTTAAGGTAGTACATTTTATAAAGATTAGATTTTTTTTACAATGGCTGACTTTTTTAAAGACACATAAGACACTATGGAAAAATGCTCATTTTTATTCTATAGCTAAGGAGCAGTTATCTTTACAAAGAAAGAAGAAAAGTTATAAACAAAGTGCATGTATGTATTTCAATAGAACTTCAAAATTTCGGAAGTACTTTTGCTTAAATTTTTGTTTGTATGAATTTAATAATCCTATAAACTAAGTAGTAGGCATTTGACTCCCTCTGTCACTAAAAGCTAAGCTTGACATATATTGAGTTGCCTAAAGTCACACAGCTTCAGAAAGCCTCCCATGTATCTTTTTTAAAAAGTTTTAATTTCCCCCACACATGCACACACAGATGCATACACACACATAACCTTTTATAATAATTACAAAAAGAAAATACGATTTCACTTTCTTTTTTTCCCTGTACCTATTATTAAAGGAATAAAAAGACAACAAAAAGAAGTCAAAAGATAAGCATAAGAAAAGACTTAACTAAAATTAACAACAATCTGTCTCCAAACAATTGGAAATTCACTAATTAACATTTTCCTTTAAGTAACTATTATAACTGTATTCTTTCACTTCACTTAAATATCTTTAAATCTAAATCCTTAAAGTATAAGTTGTTTTACGGCTGAGTGTCTACCACAGGGCAAATTCTGTGATTAGATTCAGCGAAGGCTTGCCATATTGATGCATCACACAGCAGGGGGTAGGAATTCCCCGGCTTCACTGTTTCAGAATGTTCTTAATTATCAGGGGCATTTCTACTTGCACTGTCATCCCAGCCCTCAGGGAGGCAGAAGCCAGAATAACTGTGCCAAGGAGCCATTTAGGAAGTCAGCAAAGCTCCACAAACCATCTGTCTTCTCTCTTGTTCACTCACTTGTTATCAGTGTAGACAACTAATAAGCAGGCATAAAACTCAGGGTGCTTGGATATATTTTCCCCATGTAACTACAGACCAGATGTCTTTTGCCAACAAGAGGATATGAACAGAATCTAAAGTAGCTTTTTCCCAAATAAGATAACACAATTTAAAAACTTGATTCATCAAGCAGGAAAAAGCCCAACAACAATGAACTACATATACTCTTCTGCAATAAAAATTAATACACTACTGATATGACCACATGCATAAACCCTCAAAATCATTATGTGGGACAGAAAAGAACACAGATACAAAAGAGTATAAACTATAAGATACAATTTATATAACCTTCTAGACAAGCAAAATTGAGTTGTGACAGAAATCATTAGTGGTTACTCGGACCCATGCACAGAATTGACTGAAGGGCAAAAAGGAACTTCCTGTGCAGACAGAAATGCTCTTTATTTTCACTGGGATGTTGATCACTTGAGTGCATAAATTTATCAAACCCATTGAACATTACATTTAAAATGTGTCATTTTATTATATGTAAATTATATTATATAAAGCCCTATGGTGATAGATGATGTTAGTAACTATCTCTTAAAGATGAATGGAAGCAATCTAGGAAAACTAGCACATACTCATTATCACATAAAACATCCCAATCACCTGGAAAAATTGTAAATTCAGTTCTAGTTAATTATTGAATTTAAGAAGACTAAAACTAGGGGCCAGAGATTTAGCTCAGCAGCATAAGCTTCCGCCTGGCAAGCACAAGGTCATGAGTTCAATTCCTAGTACAAAAAAGAGAGAGAGACAGAGAGAAACTAAAACTAAAATTACTGTGTCGTAAGAGATGAGCCAGAATTAGAACATTGTAAGGCAAAGGAAAGTCGAGGAAGGGTTCATGGATAAATACACAGCTTTCAATTGCATTCATAGAACATTAGAAGACTGAAAATTGAGCAGGTTATTGAAAAAGTCAATAAACTTTCTTAACTAACAAATTTGATTTTTAAAATTTTTAGTATTATTATAAGAACGAAAATTGAGCACTAAATACAAGGCACTGTTAATCTCTATACAAACATTTTTTTCTCACTTAATTCTAATGCCAACCAATAAGAAAGATATTATCATAAATACTTCATATCATCATCTTTATTTTATTTTTTGTCCTCTGCGCTTCCTTTTTTTATAATTTCTTTTTTTTTTTTTTTTTTTTGTCTTTTTCCTTTTTACCGGTACCAGGGATTGAACTCATGACTGCCTGCTTGTAAGGCAGGCGCTTATGCTGCTGAGCTAAATCCCCTGCCCCATCTCTGTGCTTCCTTTTAACAAATTAGTTATTTTATTATTTTATCTTGTTCAATATTTGTACCACTGGAATATTAAGCTCTATGAAGGCAAAACATTGCTATCTTTTGTTTACTATTATTTCCAATACATACAAGTGTCAAGCATAATGTAGGTCCTCAAATTTTTAATAAATGAGTGGCATAATCTTAGTTATACAGAAGTAGAAACTGACAAAAGCATATATCAAGTACAGACAGATCTTGACTTGTAGGCTGCCCAGGTGACTTCAGAGACCACATTGCTACTACCACCTCATGTTGCCCTCTTAAGAAATATCAGGGATTAAAAAGGGCTCTTACCAAGATATACAGGAAAATCTAAGAGTATAAATAAACAATATGCATATTTATGCCAATGAAGCTTAAAATATCAATGAAATGAACATTTTCTATAAAAACATAAATTACGAGAATTATTCAAGATGTAGAAAACTTGAATAATTTACTATAAATAAAATATAAAACAGAAACATATCCTCAAAGGTAATGGGACCAAAAAATTTTAAGGGAAAATGCCAAACTATTAACTAGTTAATATGCAGTATTTATTATTCATGAACATACAGTGAATTTTAAAAAAATTTGAATGAACCTAGTGTACTCTAACATTGAAAAAGCCAAGGGCAGCACAAAACAAAGAAAGTTGCAGTCAAAGCATCTAAATAAAATGGTAATGAATTGAATAAGATAATATATTAAACCACCTGTGGTTCAATCTCAAAATTTAAGGATAGTGTAATCCCTAAAACTCTATTCATGTAATTACTTCATTAATAAAATTAAAGAGAAATATGATCTCTTCAATGGGTACAATAAATATGTATTCACTAAGGAAGTTAAAAAAGACAGTTAATATCAAGAGTTGACAAGGATATAAAAAAATTGAAATCTTCATTTTGCAAAGACATAAAATACTGGAACCCAAACACACTGTTGGTGGAAAGGTTAACAGCTATTTTGGAAAATAAACTTGGCAGTTCCTTAAAACATTAAACATAGGTTCATTACTACATTACTCAATAACTTCACTCTTAGGTAGCTACCAAGAAAAATGAAACCACGTGTCATCACAGAGACTTGTGCATCAATGTTCACAGTATCATTTTAAAAATAGCCCTGAACTGGAGACAATCCACATGTTCATTAGATAATAAGTGGGTAAATAAAATACAGCATATCCATGAAATGGATAACTATTTGGAAATATAAAGGAACAGACTACAGATGAATGTCGCAACATGAATATATCCCAAAACTATTATAATAGGTAAGTGAAAGTAAGGCAGACATAAAAGACTACATAGTGAATGATTCCATTTACAAGAAATGTCAAAAAAAAAAGAGGAAAATCTAAAGAGTTCCCCCACACACACACCAAAAAAATCCTCACAAACCTCAAAAAAAAGAAAAAAAAGGCAAAGCTAGAAAGATTAATGGCTCCTAGGGACAGGGACAGGAATGAGATTGATTATAAATGAGCATGAGGGAACTTTTTAGGCTAAGATTATTTTAAAACTGGAGGACAATAATGATTGTACAACTCTATATGAAAAAATCATTGAACATCTTTTATGGCATTTAAATAAACTTTAATAAAAGCTGCTAAAAGTCATTTTTAGAAACATGGTAATAGAGTACTTTACAACATACATTTAATCAGCAGTCTTCATGTAAACTGTTGATAATGAAATAAAACAAAAATTTAAAAGAATTTTAAATGATTTTGAATAATTCAATGAAAACAATGTCTGGAGTATGATCACCTAAAAGACATAAAATGACCTTAAGAAGAACCTAGAGAAACAACAAAATTTACAAAAATCCTTGAGAGAAGGAACCATGAGAAAAATGCTACAGCTGAAATTATCTGACCTAAAAAAAAGTTCCTTGATCAGTAGCCATTAAGTCATGAAAACAAAATCAAATCATTCAATCATATCCATTATTAGCTTGACTTTTTTCCTTTCTTTTTTTTTAACAAAGAAAACAATCCTCTGAAGTATACTAGCTTACCCATATAGATAGGAGTCCCACATGTGGCCTGCAGCATGGCTTCACTCCCACCGTGTTTCTGTACTGCTAAGCCAAAATCAGTCACCTAGGAGAAGAAACACAACATAGTCACCCATTTTCCTGTCCTGAGTCTGTCATTCTGAAGACAGTTCTGTCATCACCTGCAATCACATTTACTCAGATGTTCTTGGAGTGAGGACTTTCCTTGTGGTACCAGCAAGAATCTTGACTTTCCTCCTTACCCACCTGTCTTTCTGGAGAAGACACTCAATAGAGAAGAGCTTGGCTCCTCAACTCCTGAGCCAATGCCCACGAGGTAGACTGTTCATGCCCTCTCATTACATTCGCCCATTCTAAACAGGAAGCTATATCTTGAAAGAAGGACTTATCATTTTTCAGATAAAGTTTTCTAAGGAAGTTCTTTCATTGTAAAATGTATTCCAACATTAGTGTATGTATTATCTATTTTCTGATATGCAAGTTATGTTCTAATTTAAAGCACCACTATAAATGCAAATAATTATCCTTTATCAGCACTCAATGTGCCTCTTTTTTATAATTATTTTTAATTGGTAAATACTATCTTTTCTTGACTATTATTTCCTTTGTGATTCTACAGCACACTAATTAAAACAATTACTACACTATTAAAAACGATGAGAAGCAAATTAACAAGGAAAAATCCACAAGACAACAGTATAACTACAAATACACTGGAGGCCTGCTGCTGCAAATGTAGCCTTTCAGCTCTGTTCTAAATCTTGGTAATTAAACACTTGCTTATGAAATATTTAGAATGTGCCCTTGGTCTTCTCTCCCAAGGTAGAACACTCTTGGTCTGAAAGCAAAACTATTTGCACATTTATTGATCAAAAAAACAAATACAGACTCTGGATCAACACTGACCACAAAGTTTCTGATATCTTTTTTTTGTTTTGTTTTGTTTCTTAAATATTCTTTTTTTTTAAATTTTATTTAAAAGGAAAAAGAGAAAAAACAAAACAAAACAAAACAAAGCGGTGTAAGGGTATAAGTAATACAGAACTAATCAAAAAACAGTAAGAAATCACCAGTTAATAGATTACACATCATCATCTTAGAGATAGTTGCTCAAGTAACAGTATCAAAGCATACAAAGTAAACATTCAAACAGAGAGACTGCAAACAGTTGTGTTCAATGATCCAACCAAAAACATTAATATGGTCAGCTATTTAACACACTTGTTGTTGTATCCTTTAGAGCACTTTTTTTCCCTCTCTTTTTTACAAAAAAATTTACACATTTTGGGTTTTATTACTCACTAGTTCTTTATTACTTTTTTTTTTGGAAGAGAATAAAGTCAATTATGGCAAAACAAAGCTGTCAGTCAAAACCAAGGATAGACATAGTATATGATGTAAAAACAGAGTACAAGGTTAACAACAATGGTTACTATAATGTCTCTTGTTTCCTTAAAAAGAATTGTCTATCTCATTAGGTATTATAAAGTTGAACAAAACAGTAGAGAACAAGACCAATAAAACTTAAACATTGCAAACATTACAGGACTTCCAAAGGAGACAATAGTCAAACCAGAATGGGCATCTTAGTGAATCTTATTGCCTTCAAAGTAGTTGCCTATACCCCCAAACTTGATACTATCATATAGAATGGAACAGAGTCTAATCAGTCAAAACAAGATAATGGGAGTATTACAGGACTTCAAAACAAGTTAATAGAAAATCAAAATGTTACTATAATATATCCTGCTAATTTTTAAAATTTTTCCCCTTAATTAAAACAAACATAAGAAATAACTAAATATTTTTTTTAAAGAATAAGGGAGAGATTGAGATAAAAGAGGACATAACAACATAACAATATAGGTCAAAGCATGACTGTTTCAGCAACCTAGTGCTTCACCACCAAATAATCCGATTTAATAGTAGTTACCATAGTGTCTTTTTCCTTGAAATATTTGAATATAACTTCATATACTATGGCTTCAAATATTTCCATATCAAGAAGCCCAGAATAAAGCCTTTCCAATTAATAAGTGAAAACTTTATAAGGCTTCAAGGCCACATAATGGGGAATCATGATTACCACATACTTTTATATATTTGAATCATTACTTACATTAGGGAAACTATTTGGTATTCACACATGTGAGATTGATTTATTTCACTTATGAGTATGGTCTCAAGCTGTGCCCATTTATTGATAAATACCTCAATGTGATCTTTCTTTATAGCTGAGTAATACTCCATTGTATAGAAATACCACAACTTTTTTATCCATTCCTCAGTAGATGGACACTTGGGTTGTTTCCAAAATCTGGTGATTACAAATTGTGCTGCTTTAAACATAAGTGCACATATATCACTGTGGTATGATGCTTTCAGTTCTTCTGGGAATATGCCTAGAAGTGGAATAGCTGAAATAAATGGGACTTCCAATCCCAGCTTTTTGAGAAATCTCCAGACTGACCTCCACAAAGGTTGTACCAGGCTACACTACCACCAACAGTGTAGGAGAGTTCCTCTTTCCCCACAGCCTCTCCAGCATTTGTTGTTGTTGGTTTTCTTAATCCTGGCCATTCTTTCAGGAGTGAGACGGAATCTCAGTGTGGTTTTAATTTGCATTTTTCTAATGACCAATGATGATGAACATTTTTTCATGTATTTATTTGCCATTTGTATTTCTTCATCTAAGAAGTGCATATTCATCTCAGTTGCCCATTTTTGGATTGGATCTTTGAATGTTGGAGGTCTGAGTTTTTTTAATTCTTTATATGTTTTAGACAAGAGTCCCTTGTCTCAGAGAGAGTTCACTAAAATCTTTTCCCAGTTTGTGGGTTTTCTTTTCACTATGCTGGAGATTTCTTTTGACATGCAGAAACTGTTTAATAAGAAGTGGTCCCAGTTACTGATTCTGGGAAGTATTTCCCGTGCGGTTTGAGTCCTGTTCATGAATTCTCTACCTACTCCTATGTCTTCAAGGTTTCTATCCAATAGATTTAGTGTTTCTGTTTTAATATTCAGATCTTTGACTCATTTAGATTTTAATTTAGTTCATGGTAATAGACATGGGTCTAGCTTTAGTTTTTGGCAAATGGAGAGCCAGTTTTTCCAGCACCATTTATTAAAGAGACTGTCATTCTTCCAGTGAACCTGCTTGGCTCCTTTATCAAAGATAAGGTGGTTGAGTGTGTTTGTAGTTGTGGTTGTATCTTCTAATCTATTCCATTGATCTTCATCTCTGTTTTGATTCCAATACCATGATGATTTTGCTACTGTTGCTTTGTAGTATAACTTCAAGTCAGGGATTGTGATGCCTCCTACCTTGCCTTTGCTGCTTAGAATTGCCTTTGCTATTCTAGGTCTCTTCTGGTTCCAGATGAATTTTAGGAGTGATTTCTCTAGATCTATAAGGTATGTTGATGGCATTTTTATTGGAATTGCATTGAATCTGTATAACAGTTTTGGGAGAATGGCCATTTTCACAATATTTGTTCTTCCTATCCATGAGCAAGGGATGTCTTTCCATTTTCTGAGATCATGTTCAATTTCTTTTTTCAGTATATTATAATTTTCCCAGTATAGGTCTTTCACTTCTTTGTTAAGAGTAATTCCTAAATATTTCATTTTTTTGCTTGCTAATGTAAAGAGTGTGGTTTCTCTTATTTCCCTCTCTGTAATTTTGTTGTTAGGGTATAGGAATGCTATTGATTTCTGAGTATTTTGTATCCAGCTACATTACTGAATTTATTTATTAGATCTAAGAGTCTTTCAATGGAGTTTAGGGGTCTTCTATGTAGAGTATCATGTCATCTGCAAACAATGATGATTTAAATTCTCCTTTTCCTATCTTTACCCCTTTTATTTCTCTTTCTTGCCTAATTGCTCTGGCTAGTACTTCCAGTACTGTATTAAATAGGAGTGGTGATAAAGGACATCCTTGTCTTGTGCCTGATTTCAAAGTAAAGACTTTCAATTTTTGGCCATTTAGTCTGATGCTGGCTGTTGGTTTGTCATAAATGGCCTTTATTATATTGAGGTAAAGACCATCTATTCCAATTTTCTGTAAAGTTCTTATCATGAATGAATGTTGGACCTTATCGAAGGCTTTTTCTACATCGATAGAAATGATCATGTGATTCTTACTTTTGGCTTTATTGATATGGTGGATTACATTTATTGATTTACGTATGTTGAACCATCCTTGCATTCCTGGGATGAATCCCACTTGGTCATACTATAATCTTCTTGATGATTTGCTGAATCCTATTGGCCAATATTTTATTGAGGATTTTTGCATCTGTGTTCATTATGAAGATTGGTCTATAGTTCTCTTTTTTAGTTGGGTCTTTCTCAGGTTTTGGTACTAAAGTAATATTTGCTTCCAGGAATGACTTAGGAAGGATTGTTTCCCTTTCAATTTCACTGAATAGTTTGAGGAGTGTTGGCATTAGGTCTTCTTTGTATTTCTTGTAGAATTCTGCAGTGAATCCATCTGGGCCTGCGCTCTTCTTTGTAGGTAAGGACTTAATTACATTTTCAATTTCATTAACAGAGATTGGGTTATTCAACAGTTTTACATCCTCTTGATCTAGCTTTGGTACTTCATATGCTTCTAAGAATCTGTCTATTTCTTCTGTGTTATCAAACCTTTGAGAATAGAGGTTTTCAAAATAGGTGTTGATGATCTTCTGTATTTCTATTGGGTCTGTAGTGATTTCACCTTTTCATTTCTTATTGCATGAATTTCAGCTTTTTCTTCCTTTTTTTAAATAAGGTTGGCTAGGGGCTTATCGATTTTATTTATTCTTTCAAAGAACCAACTCTCTGATTCGTTGATTCTTTGGATTGTTTTCTTAGTTTCTACTGCATTGATTTCTGCTCTGATTTTTATAATTTCCTCTCTTCTTTTGGCTTTGGGCTTGACTTGCTCTTCTTTTTCTAGCTGTTTGAGGTGTAGCATCAAGTTATTTATTTGTATCCGTTCTGTTTTCCTGATGTGGGAACTCAGCGCAATAAATTTTCCTCTGAGGACAGCTTTCATTGCATCCCACAAATTCCAGTAAGTTGTATCTACATTTTCATTTTCTTTTAGGTATTGTTTAATTTCTTCTTTAATTTCTTCTGTGACCCACTGATTACTCAAGAGTCTGTTATTCAGTTTCCATGTGTTTGTGGGATTTTTGCAGTATCTTTCATCATTAATTTCTAATTTCAGAGCACTATGATCTGATAACATGCAAGGGATGATTTCAACTCTTTTGCATTTGTTTAAATATGTTCTGTGAGCTAATATATGGTCTATTTTAGAGAATGATTCATGTACTGCTGAGAGGAATGTGTATTCTGATGTTGTTCGGTGGAACATTCTGTATATGTCTATCAAATCCATTTGTTCGCAGGTGTGATTCAGTTCTGTTATTTCTCTGCTCATTTTCTGCTTGGTTGATCTGTCCCTTGGTGTCAATGGCATATTATGGTCTCCTGTTACAATTGTGTTACTGATAATTTGAGTTTTCTTTTCTGTTAATAGTTGTTTTATATAACTGGGTGCTCTGGATTTTGGTGCATATATATTTAAGATAGTTATCTCTTCCTCTTGGAGTTTTCCCCTAACGAGTATGTAGTGACCTTCTTTGTCCTTTATGGTCATTGTAGGTTTAAAGTTCATGTTGTCTGCAAACAGAATGGCTACTCCTGCTTTTTTTTGGATTCCTGTTGTGTGAAGTATTGTTTTCCATCCTTTGACTTTCAGTCTGTGAGTATCCTTCTGGGTTAGATGGGTTTCCTGTAAACAGCATATGGTTGGATTTTGTTTCTTGATCCATTCTGCTAGTCTGTTTCTTTTGATTGGTGCCTTGAGACCATTTACATTAATGGTTATTACTGTTAAATGCTGGTTTATTGTTGACATTATCTCTCTGCTGTTGCATCTTTATCTTTCTGTTCTGTTTAATTATCTGCTTTGCTTAGTGGTTTTTTCCTTTGTGTATCTAACCTGTCTTTCAATATTTTTTTCAGGGTTGGCTTGGTGTTCGTGAAGTTCTTCAGCTGTTCTTTGTCATGGAAGTATTGTATTTCACCATCAATTTTGAATGATAGTTTTTCAGGATACATCAGTCTAGGTTGGAAATCATTTTGCTTTAGGATGTGGAATACTTCACTCCATGCTCTTCCTGACTTTATTGTTTGTGCTTAGAAGTCTGCTGTGATTCTGACAGATTTTCCTTTATAAGTGATCTGTCTTTTCTCTCTGACAGCTTTTAATAATCTATTCTTGTGTTGGATTTCTGGGATGCTGATTATTATATGTCTGGGTGTAGATTTATTTTGGTTATGACTATTTGGAGTTCTATATGCTTCACTGATCCTCATGTTGGTTTCTGATCTCATGCTTGGGAAATTTTCAGCTATTACTTCTCTAAATATTCTCTTGACATCCTTTTATGTTGTCTCCTTCTTTTTCATTAATGTCTATAATTCTTATGTTATTTTTCTTTGCATCATCTTGCAGTTGTTTAATTGTTGTTTCCTGATTCCTTGTTATTTTTAAAAGATCTTTCCTTTCCTATTCACTAGCTGCAATCCTGTCTTCAAGGTCTGAAATTCTATCTTCACTTTCATTGAGGCGGTTTTTACAACTTTCAGTGGAGTTTTTTATTTCCTGTATATCGCTGTGCATCTGCATTATGTATTCTGTTTGTTTCTTATATTGCTCATCTAGGGATTCTATCTTTTTGTTTAGTTCCTCCAATTTTTTAACTGTGTTTTCTGTAGATATATTCAGAATCTCTTTCATTTCTTTTATCATTTCTTCTTCTACCTGGGAGATTATTTCAAGTTTGAATTCCTTTAAAGCTTCCTGGAGTTGCTTATTAATTTCAGAAGCTATTATGTCTGATATTTGAGGTGTATGGCATATATTTTCTTGTATATGCATTACTCCTAGGGTTTCTTGAGATGGGCTGGAGTTTTGAGGTTGTAATTTGGTCTTTCATTTTGTCATTTTCCTATATGTCTGTGTTTGAAGTGTTATTTGAAAGCTTCCTCAGGGTCTGTTGGAAATCCCCTTCTGTATTCGCAGCTCCTGAGACTCTGGCACCCAGGTACCCCAAGCCACTGGGCCTGTAGAACCAATGGCCCTCTTCTGCCTGTTTAGAACTCCGTGGTTCCAGATAAGCTGGGCTTCAGGGACACTGTGCGCCCACCTGCTTGTTGGAAGCTCCACAGTTCTCCAAGCGCAGCCAGAATTGGAAGGCGGATGTAGATGCCTCAAACCCAGTTATCCACTTCACTACACCCGGAAGCCTGGAGGGTCCCGAACAGTCCGGGTCTTGGGGCAGAGTGCACTGAGCACTTACCGCAGGCCGCGGGGCCTCTGGAACCTGCGATGCTCCCCTGCTTGCTGAGATATCCACAGTCCTCCAGACACATGGGGAGGCGGATGCAGGTGCCCCAGATCCGCCCAGCCCTTCCTCTGCACACAGATGGTGAGGTGCAGTAGTCCCAAATAGGCTGGGCTCCGGGGATAGTGTGCGCCCGCCTACTTGCTGGAACCTCCAGAGTTCTCAGTTTCTGGTATCTTATGGAATAAGAAAATGCTCCTAGTTAACATGTGATATCAATATTGTTATAAATAGATGGATCAAATTCTCCATGATTTTTCATAATACCCCACTTGAAGCATTATGATGCACATCTTTCTCTACAGAAAATCTGTACTGATATCAAATACATAGAACATTTCACAACCCAATTGAAGTGGTCTTTGGAGACCGCTCAATTCCTTCACTTGCCAAATATTAATTAAGAATATTCAGTGTCTTAGGCACTATTCCAGGTCCCAAGAGTAAATAAGACAAACATAATTCCTGTCCCCATGTAGTTTTACATGGACATACTCAAGGACATTCACTTGTGTGAACCAATAGTGCTCTTACGCCTTTTTGCATTACATTGTGACTTAGCTTTTGCAAATGTAAAAGTAACTAAACTAGCAACACTTTATTCCAACATTAACACATTCATGTATTTTGAAAGCATTCACTACTAAAGTGCTGAGTAATAAATAATGACTCCTATCATTTATTTGACATTAAGGAACATAATTTGAATAAAATCTTCAAGAATAAATGCTTGGCACATTAATTGTGCTTAAAACATAAATATTAATATCTAGGAAAATTTTCAATGAGAAATACAGACTGTAGCATTAATTATCAAAAGCACTGCCAAGGTGTGTTTTTCCCTAAATCTGTAACACATTTACATTAAATTACCAGGCATAATTTTGAGATTAATTAGAATTCAGAGCATCTGTTTGCTTGCTATTAACTAATGATTTAGAACCATTCAAGTGAATATGTACTTTAAAAAATTGTCGCACCACTTAACTTGTAAAATTATCCTTGTCAGCTACAACCTCCTTTGTGACATTTTTATTTTTTAGCTCAAACTACTCATTTCCTAGCTGCTTAAAATCCATCAAAATGTATCCTACAAGACATATTTTGCAACATTTTTATTAAACTGTGTATAGACAACCACTTACCACCAATTCTAATATCTTACCTTTATATTTAAGTTCATTTCATTGTTAGCATCAATAAAGCTGCTTTTAACCATTATGTTTTCCAGTTTTAGATCTCTGTGTACTATATCTATCAAGAAAATAAACAACAAATCAAATGGAATGAATAATGGAAAATAAAGAAGACAAAAAATAGTGAGGATATTTAATAGTTTAATATTTGCTGGTGACAATTTTAAGTGGCACTAAGTAGAATTCATCCTTGTTCTGTTCTCTTAAACACTCCGCTGCATTTCTGACCCCACTGTCTTTGCCTCCCTTATCCTTACCCATTCCCCTATTGTCCCAGTGGACTGCTCTTCATGATGAGTGGCCTGCTGGTGTGGAGGACCCTGGTGAAGACTGGGCATTCCCAGAAGGGAGGTGGACTTAGGAGCCCATCAAGATTTCTCATATTTTTAGGTCTTTAAACAGGGAATTATTTCTTTACCTGTACATATATGTTACTGTCAATGTAAGAATTAAAACATATTGTAATTTGACTACATATATACAAGCTATGTTTCAGTACATTTTTCTATAATATCAGTGTACATTTTTCTGTTCTTTATATAGTAAAAAAAAATGTTTTAAATCCCCAAAACAAATTCTCCATAGAACAAGGCAGAAGCTCAGGTAAGATTTTTATGCTCATGTAAATAATCATGTGCCAAACATGATTCAGTTCATAGCTCTAGCTATCTTATCTCTAGAATTGAAAAGTTCAGTGTATATAATCGTGGGAAAAGGTAGTTGAATGAGCCCTGGACTGAAAATTATACCTAATCATTTACAGTTTCCTTACTCAATTCCCTAGGCTTATTTTTGAAATTTTTATTGCTTCTATTGTTCTGCTGATCTTTTTTTACATAAATTCTGCATATTTTAATTAACACCTCTTTATAATATGCTTTGATCCATGGTAGGGCAAGACTTCTACTCCTATTGTTGTTCTTTTTAATTGTTGTATGGCTATTCTAACCCATTTTAGCGTAATCTTATCAAGTTCCATGAAAATATTATTAAAATTTTGTTTGGAATTATACTGGATTGATAGTTTACTATAGAAGGATTTACTACGGAAAGATATTAAGCCTTTGCAAAAATTATTTCCCTCTGACTAGAAAGCCCTCCCTCTTTTTCACTGAGTTTGTATCCATCAAATAAAATATTACTTCCTCTAAATTTTTTCCTGACTTCCAAACCAAATGTATATTTATACTCCTGTGTTCCTTGCACTGTATATGGTTCTCCATTAAAGAAATTAGCATATTGGATTAGAAGTTGTTTTCCATACTCATGGTCCCACTAGCTAGAGTTTCTTGATGAATGATGGCCTTCTATTTAGTATCTGTGACTCTAGAACGAATCACAGTTTACCAGGTACTCAGGAAGTGCCTGCTGAAGGAACCACAGGGTCCCAGTACCAGCTGTACCACACTGAACTATGTCACTGCACCTTTCTGGAACAAACTTTTTCTTTACCTATACAGTGATAAAGTTCTAAAGTCACATGTAAGTCAAAATAACCTTGAAGAAAAACAGAAGTAGCATGAGGCAAAGCAATCTCCGTAAGCCCAAAGAATAGTAAAGAGATGAGAATAATAGCATAAAATTTAGAAGTTGATTTAAAAATATTGTGAAACTCCTCTGTATGATACTAAAATGGCAGCTAAATGTCATCACACACTTGTTAAAATCCACTGGATGTTTAGTGTTAAGAGTGAATTCTAACATCATCTATGGATTTTAGGTGATAGTGATGTATTGAGTGCGGATTCATCAGTAACAAGTGTGCCACTCTGGTGTGGAGTTAAACAGTGGAAAAGGCTTCGCATTTAGTGGAGTGGGAACAACAGGGAAGGCTCTGTATCTTCTAACAAGTTTGCTGAGAACATAAAACTGCTCAAAAGATAAAGTCTAAAATTACTAAAAACAAGAAAAGCCTAGACTAGTGGTGATAAACCAATGGCACGTGTGCTGTAGTGGACTGTTTGTATCGCTGAAAGCTCTAAAAGCTTTTCACCACTGACCTAGACATGTATTTTAATACTGTTAATATTAATATTTTAGAAATCTCACCTTTATTATTAATTTATCTAATTTTTAACTTACATAGAAAATGAATTTATTGGGAATAATACTGAAGATAAAGAAATGTTTCTTTAAAATCTAGAGATTGGTTTGGAGACTGAGCTCAATTACTATCCAATGAAAATCAAGATCAACACTCAGAAATATTTTAATTTCAAACATAGAGAAAGGATCTCATATGCAACCTAAGAAACAAAGAAGCAAACAAAATTTAAAAGGCTGCTTACAAAAGAAATCAAAATGTTAGAATTTTGAGGACACTGCTAAGTCCAAGAATTCAGTAATGGGCAAAGCGGCTCTTTACGAGGGAGCAAAAGGAGACTTTCTAATTTCTGGTGGTTTTAAATTTTAATTTGCATTAGAACATGTTTGTGGCAACTCCACACAAAGAATGTAAACATTATTTGTCTAATTTTCAGTTAATACTAACAGCTGCTTTTCAAATGTTTCAAATGTTTATAACTGCTTCCTTGTCCATATATAATGTAACTGTTTAACAGTTTAACTGCACTGCAGCTGTGTAACTATATACTGGCCTTGTTTCTAATTAAAATATATCTAAAAATAAAAGTAAAATATAAAATAAATAACAAGTCTTCTTTATTACCAAGTGCTATTTATATAAGTATGAATCCTGAATACAGATACTCTTAAAAGTGATATCTCTATTCACAGAATCAGTGAATGGGCTGGTCCTCTTCTTACCCTTACTGTGAAGATATGCAATAGCTGATGCAAGACTTTGAATGATCCACTTTGTCTCATTCTCTGAGAAATGCCTTTTCCTATCCAAAATTTCTTTGAGTTCTCCATCCTCACAAAGCTCCATCACAAGGTACATTTTCTGACATTATGCATTTAAGAGAAAAAAAAAGTTATATATCTGAGTATCTTCAAAATGTTACATATTACATATATGATCACAATCTTGCTTTTTTTTGTTTGTTTGTTTTGGTACCAGGGATTGAACTCACGACTATGCACTTGCAAGGCAGGCACTTATGCCACTGAGCTAAATCCCTGGCTATGATCACAATCTTAACATCAATTTACACATTTCAAAATATTTTATCTATTACCTAGAACATACTGTTTCTAGGGAAACAAAGTATGCAAAATAGTCTATATCTCAAGAAGCCCACCGTATAGTTACAATTCCAATATCATGTGCCAAGTATTAATGTCATGGGGTTCTAAAGAATTCTCATTAAGGAGAGACATTATAGCCAGGGCCAATGCGGGGCAGGGATTTATGAGTAGAGAATGTAGAAGAAAAGGCAGAGCACATGAAATGGGCTCTAAAACATGAAACAGCACTGGTTGTTAAAAGAATGACAAATATCTCTGTGTTAATAGCATTGGGAGCTTGATAGGCCAAGGAAGGGTGGGGGTAGTTAAGAGTAAAGCTAAGAACAGTTTAGTACCAGTTTGTAAAGTGTCTTGGATATCATACTAAAGTATAGATTTCTTTTCCCATATGCAACAAGAAGTCACTAAAGACTTTTAGTAGAGGCAGGAAGTTATATGGTAGTATTATCAGTTTTGCATTTCTAAATGAATACTCTAATGGTACTGCATAGGAAGGATCAGCAAAATTTTTCTATGAAGGCCAAACCCAAGAGTAAATATTATGGGCTTTGCAGGCCACAAAGTCTCTTTCACAACTACTCAGCTCTGCTGCTGCAGCAAGAAAGCAGCCATAAACAAGACAGCAACACTTTATTTATGGACTTGGAAAATTGAGTTTCATATAATTTTCACATGTCATGAAATATTACTCTTTTACATTTTTTTTCAATGATTTGATAACGTAGAAAACTCAGCTTATGGGCCGTACAAAAATGTTCAGAGCCAGATTTAGCTCATAGGCTGTCCTATACTGACTTCTGTTTATAGAAATAGATGTAAGGCTCAGAATGAGACAAAAAAAGGAGAGAAGAAAAAGATGTAAAAATATGCAGGCGGAATAAACAGCAGGACTTGCTGGTTAATTGGGTATTGTGGTGAGAATGCCTGGATGAAATCCCTCTTGTTTGTGGCATATTAAGATCTCTTTAGAGATCAAGTCATCTATTCAGCCAAGATTCAGGTAACTAAAATGCAGGTCTTTTCCATATGTGTTGTTGTTAGGCATGGACTACCCTCCACATTTTCATTCCTTTGCTGCTAGATTTTTGTTCTTAATATTTTGAGATCCAGTTCTGCTGTTAGAAGTACTATTAATATAATTTCTGTATTCAATCAGTAAGTCTTAAAGTATGAAGAAGAGGTTAACAACCTTTCTTCCTATACTTACAATCCTGATTCACTGACATTCAGGCTCCTTTAGAATTACAAAAGTATTTGCAAAGTCTGACACATAAATAAGCCTTTGAACTGAATCTTATTTTTCACTGGCAGCACTATAGATCATCAGTAAATGAAATGATGTGAACTCTTTCTAAGAAAAAGTAGCATTAACAGTGGTTATAATATAAATTGATGTCAATTTAAAATATATAATTTGATCAAAATTATAGCAATCAAACCTACAAGATAAGTTGTTTTATAATTATTAAAAACAACTGCATAGATCTGGAGAACATTTAGATTCACAAGAAACCACAATATAGACTGAATGATCTGTGTTAAAATAACCAATTAGGCAGCGATTGCCTTAAAATGGCTTTAATGAAAAGTCTAGACATTTATTTGGATTTAATAGTGTAGAAGTGGCATACCTGACCTAGGTGAATCAAGGATGAGCAATACACACAAAAAGATAATCACAAATGAAGGTTTTCTGTGCTTTCAAACTTCTAAACTTGGATTTCCACTAAGATCCATGATGTAGTAACAGTTTAGACTTACTTCTGCTTGAAACAACTTAAGAACTGGACAAAATATATAAAACAATGTTCAGACTTTACATATAAGGCTACATAGAGTAGTGATAAGAGAGGGGGAGAGAGAGAGAATGAGAAAGAGACCCCCCCTAGAGAAGAAGTTTCCAGACCACAGGGCAGGGATGGGAAATCCAAGCAGACCTCAGCAGCCTCCATGAATCTGAGGAGGTGGAGGAGGGAGTTCGACAGGACCAGGACAACTAAAATTCACATGACAGTGTCAAAGAGAGGAAACTCCAGAGATTTACTTCATGTCTTCAACAGAATACTAATCAACAAATGGTCTTTTCCCAAAGCTGGGAAAGTAACCATGCAAAGGAACAGGGAGAACAATCACATAAGCCTACACACATCCAGAAACTCTGGCTGGTATTCCCACCAGCCAGAGTGAAAAACTTCACAATTCATGAGACACTGGGCAGAGTTTATGTACCCAAAAGAGTCATACCTCAGTAGCAGAGAAAAATTAGTCCTAGAATAATCAAGATTGCTCTAGTATCACCTAATTAAAATTAGAGCAGGATGTAAAAGTACCAAAGTGTTTACAAGTGACTTAATTACTGTATATGTTAAAATAAAGTTCAAGAATATTTATAAGAATATAAAATATCCAGCATCCAAAATGTCTAGAATTCAACAGAAAAAATCATTAAGAATACGAAGCATAAAAATAATGGAGGGAAGAAATTTAATCAACTTAAAGTGACAGAAATGATACACATGACAAAATTAGAAAAAAGACATTAAAACATTGTAATTAAGAAGGATGAAAGTTTGAGTATGCTAGTTCACACATGGAATATATGTATAAAAATTTACACTGGAAGAGATTAATAGTACATGTAATATTACAGGAGATTGCTATATCTGATGACAGAGCAATAGAAATCATAAAAAAGGAAGAAAATTATTGAAAAGTATGAACAGAGGCACCAGCATACTGTGGACACTATCACACAATCTTCTAAATGTACTTGGAGTCCCCACAAAGAGAAACAAAAAGTATCTGAGAAAATAATGGCCAAAAGCCAGGGATTTCGCTCAGTGGTGTAAGCACCTGTGTGGCAAGTGCAAGGTCGTGAGTTCAATCCCTGGTACAAAAAATAAAAGAAATAATGGTCAAAATTTTCCTAAAGTTGATGAATTCGATAAACTCACAGACTCCATGAATCCCAAGCACAGGAAACATGAGGATTGTATCAAGACACATCCTAATCACATTGATTAAAACTGAGACAAAGAACAAAACTATTCAAAGAATGTTAGGAGACAACAGAAATCACAAATTTATGTTGGGGTGTAGCACAGTGGTGCAGCACACACTTAATTGCATGAAGTTTTGAGTCTGAACTCAGCACTGCAAAGAGAAGAGAAGGAGATGGAGGATGGGCAAAATCACAACCTACGACTGAAAAGGGTAGAGAGGACTTTTGATGCTTTGGAATCATTTCCATATACTATTCCCATGAATGACAACTCTGGTCTTTTACTGTTATCAAGCACTCTTAATAAATCAGACATAACCCAAATTGACTATTACTATCAGAGAGACTGGCAAAGAAAACAAAGGACACTAACATGTAATAAGACAGACGTTTTAACAGTATCCCATTTAATCTTGCAACAACCAAAGTTAAGTAAACATTATTATTAAATCCCTTTTACAGATGATGAATGAGATAGAGAGAGGTTTACTAACTTGTCTACGGTCTCATGGATAATGAGCAGTGGAATCAGGACTCAGTGTGCAGGCAATCTGACTCTAGAGTCCACATGTCTAACCAATACCTTATAGGGTTCCCAAGCAGAGAAAGACCCAAATCTACAACACTCTAGAGGCAGAATGAAAAATAAATCAGGCATTTGAATTACTCTAGATAAAAATCACAACCATTTACAGAGAAGAATCATAACATCTAGAGATGAAATAAGATAAAACATATTGAAAAGACAGATGATAAACTATTTTCTACATAATTCCAAGTATATCATGCCAGTTTGATAAAGCTAAACTTTCAGAAGTGTGACAATATTCCAATAGACTCTAATGAAGAGAACTAAATCAGGAGGAAGGCCATCTCTAAGGAAGCTCTAATCACTATTAATTATACATGAAACTGTTCCAATTTTAAACATTTGTTTCCAACATGCCACCAGAACATATTACAAAAGCCATCAGTCTAATCATCAGACACCTAATTATACAATCAATAATAAAAGTTCTCCAGAATGTTCTCATCAATATCCAGTGACAGACTCATGCCAAGGACATGAGCAACTGTGCCCAGAGGGATTGCTTCAGAATGGAATGATAATTCATTTTATAATAATAATAACTTCCAAAATGCAGCACCTGATGGAACTTTACCTTAGGCGTCTCAAATACTTGTTCCAAATGTATGATGTGCTTATGTTTTACACTTTTTAGGATGTTCACCTCCCGTTCAAGTAACTTCACAGCAGAGCTTCCAGCCTTAATTAATGAAGAAGCACAGATTTCACAGGTGACTATTACTCTTACCTTCCTCAATACAACAGTTTTTACCTTATACTGTTTTCTATATTTCTTGAAAAGCTTCTTTTTCAAATGATACCAGGCAGTTTATTATATGGTCAGATTAAATTATGCCCCTTCTTTCCTTTGTTCAATTTCAAATTCTATTTAATTTGCCCTCATATCACAACTAATCTCATGCCTGTTTGCATAAATTAGCTACAATACGTCATGTGTCTCTTCCCAAAATTATTCCAATTTTTAATATGCTATTTGGTATTTCCTTCAAAATCACATTGATTCTTTCATGTTAGCATAAATAAAACAAAATCTTCCAAAGATATCTATTGGAAAAGTTTTTTTTTAATAAGAAAATGTTTTTGTTTTGTCTAGTTTTGATATAATTTATACATATCAAAAAGACTATAGACAATGAGACTCTCCACTTGACTCTCCATTACACTGCTTCCTGTTCCCTCTGTTCAAAACAGACAGACAGACAGAAAGGCAGACAAAGAAACCTTACCTTCAGACCTGGTCTTCAGACCAACCTAAACCAAACTTTATCTCCTAGCACACGTAAACCTTACTATGCCTGACAGGAAAACTAAAGACAAAAACACTTCATTCAGAGCACAGGTAACTGCTTGTCTACCTGTCATCTAAGAAGTTCTACTATAGGGTCTTTCTTTACCCACACCACTGCCACCACCCACCAAAATCATCAAGGCTACTGCTACTGAAGTTGGCACTACTTGAGGATAAGCATTGTCCTCCTTTATGGGTCTCATTTCCATATAAAAGTACCCCTGAAAAAGAAAACAAAAAGACCTAGTCCTCTATGCTTCACCCATCCCCAGTTTGGGAGAATAGTAATGATTCTTAAAAGGGACTGATCACAAAACAAAGACGATCTAATTAGAATTTTACCTAGGATCAGTCCTGCTTCTAATTGCCTTGCTCTTCAACCTTTAGTATTTCAGCCTGAGTAGACTACTGACCATCCTACTCTACCCCACCATGCAGGATGCAAGCATATTTTAGGGTTAATCTTGATATCCACAAATAGTGACAAGTGCATTTTTTTGGCCAACTGGATATGGAAAGTTACCATAATTTCTCCTAATATCTATTCCAAATCTATTCCAATGTCTCTCCTCAAATGTCTTTATTGTTATAAAATACAACAATATGATGTCTAATTCATATATTGACAAGTAAATTTCATTTTACTACATTAGTTTCTTATAAACTCTCAACATCAATATAGGTGTGAAAGATTAATTAATTAATTACTAAAGTCTCAAGAAGGTATATGTACAGTAAAAACGAACCTCTAACCTACCTGACATCAAGAAAGCAATAGAAATAGCATTCTAGCTAGCACTGTAGGATGCTATCTATAGTTCTAAAGAATTCTAAAACTTGTAGAAAAGTTCTTAAGTGTTTCAAGATTGATATTTTACCATACTAAAGTTTAGGGAGAAATTTGCTTTTGTTTGCTTTGTTTGTTTGTCTGGGATTTTCTTTGTTTTTTTTGTTTTGTTTTGTTTTTTTGTTTTTTGGTTGTTGTTGTTGTTTTTGCTTGTAGTTTGTTTTTTAGACAGGGTGTTGCTTTCTACTACTGGCTAGACTTGAATTCACTTATAGCCCCGGCTGGCCTTGAACTCATGGCAAACCTCCTGCCTTGGCCACCCAAGTGTTGGGATTACAAGCATGCACAACCATGCCCAGTGCTTTAGTTCATTTTAAGGAATACATAAAACCTGCTATTTAGTTTTATAAATTTGTATTTATCATCACAGATCTGAGAAGCACCATAATGTTGTTTTGTTTTTTCCTCAAACAGATTTTTTTAAAGCTGATAAAATGATCCAAGTATAAAATCTGAAGCCATAGACTGCCTAAAGAGAAGCCCAGTTTTTCTCCACTCTGATAGGAAATGCAGTGGGGAATACAGCGGTTATGAGTAAACAGTATGCTCCACAGACATGGGGAAAGTGGCTCAAGCTGAAGAAGCAGGCAGGCTGAAGAAACAGAATTACCCAGGGGTAAGGAACAAGGGAGCTGAGTGAAAGGGAAAAATAGGAGAAACGCCTGTGTATCCAAACAGCGTAGGGCAGAACGTTAGCATGCACTTCTACCAAAGACATCTATCTGTAGCCCACAGCCCTATACCTACACATCAGAGTACCAGCCTTTATGTTCAACTCACGCTGGCAAAATTTACCTATTTGATTACACTTATTGGAAGTAAAATGATTAAAGTCACCCAGGACACATAACTACACTTGTTATGTTAGCCCTTCCATGAGCTTTTTCTAGACAGCACTTACCTACTGAGTTCATGAACTAGTTCCTCTCCAAGCGGGCAGAGAATGTTCTGCGCCAGTAGGTCAGTCCAGGCCCTGGCTCCCAGCATTAGACAGAGCTGATGTTAGGGTGAACACTGTGTCCTCCCACTTATTCAGCACTGGCACCATGTCTTCAGCATAACCTCTTATAAGAAGTCTTACCTTTTCTTTATTTACTGTTTTAATGGCCCACTTAGTGTCTGTTTCCTTGTCTGTAGCTTCAAAGACCATTCCAAAACTCCCTTGTCCCAGTATTCTTCCAAAAGTATAGATTTCCTAGGGACAGAGTAAGAGTTCCTTTATCTATCCCTCTCTGTCATTCATCTGGTATTTAAAATGAATACATAATCCTGACCAACATTGGGCATCGGGTCCAAAGGGAGAGATTCTTCTCCAGGGCAAAGTAAAATAGAAGACATTGCTATACATTTGCTTCAATATTAATAAATAGAACTGAACCCCAAATAAGTTTTGATTAATTTTTTAATGTCCCCCTTTGGAGGGAAACCACAAAAGTCTTAATGGTGAAGTGAGGAAAAGCTTCAAAGTGTGAAAATAAATCTCTTCCAACCTATAATATTAATGAAATATCTTTGTGAGCAAAAGCACAAGTAGAATAGTAATACACACACACACACACGTGTGTATGAGTGTGTGACTGTGTACCTGTATATAAATAATACATTCACCTAGAAAATTATCCCAAATTCAGAGAGCTATACTATAAAACCAAATCATATAATAATTGAATGTCTTGTGAACAACTTGTTTAACAAATGATGCTTTTTCCTTATTTGCATTATGTTTGTTTTGTTTTGCTTTGTTTGAGGAACCAAACTCAGGACCTTGGCAAGCAGGTGTTGTGCCACTGAGCTATATCCCTGGCCCTAGATATTGCTTTTATTGCCTTATTCATTTTGACTAGAAAAAGCAATATGTGGTAGACATTTTAATACAAATTAGTACTGAAAAGAAAATAAACACCACCCATAATTGTACTATCTAGGCCAAGAATCCTTCTGTTTATCTTTTTTTCTCTGCTTATCATTTACTTTTTACATTACAAGACAGAATATGTCAGTTTTACCAACAGCAGAATTCTGGTTCACATTGTAAAATTAAAAACAGGAAACTCATTTCCGTGAACAGAGTGGCAGGAGTCAACTTCCCTCATCCGAATCGACTCATGAGTACTGAGCAGAGTTTCCAGACTCACCGAGCGTAAGAGGCCGAGCCCGCGTCACTAGGTGAAGCCTCCGAGGGTCTGGCACCAGGCCTCTCCTGTGGATACCACTCTATCACTGTGTAGCCGCCTGCACCTTTGCTGGGAAACTGAGAAGCCAGGCTCTCACATTCCTACTGCTCACACTCCTTTCTTCTCTAAAAGAAGATTCCATGCCCAACAGCTCACCTCCATCCTGTAGGGAGCCGGGATTAACCCCGCACCGTGGAGACTATTCCTTCCTTTTCACTCGTTCAGCATGCGCATGCTGGCCCTCAAACTCTATTATATTACTCTCTTGCTAATCTTGGTTCCCCTTTTTCTTCCAAGATAGTACAGAAGATCCTCAAGGAACTATTTCTTTTGTATCCCTGAAAAGACCTAGTTCCTCCTTCTTCCCTGGTATCACATAATAGCACAATAGCAAGAATCAAAAGTCAGAAAACTTAGATAAAGAAAGGTAAAACATAATTTTGTTTCATTACATTTATATACAACTCTTACCTATACATTATGTAAAGTGAATTAAATCTCAATTAAAATGGTCATTTATCCCTTTTCCCCCCACAGGGAAAAAAAATCTCTTCATAACTATTTTCCACATTTTCTTGTCTTTTAAAAATTAAACTTTCACTAATTTCTAAAATAATATAATACCACAATTTAGATGCAGTATTAAAATTCTGTATAGGTTCTTTAACATAAGAAGAGACCCATTAATTTTTTTTTATAATTTAATCTTTTTAACTGCTTTGATATCATCATACACTGGTAAATACGAAGAAAATTTTTTCTTGTCTCTAGTAATTTTAAGATGCTATTAATAGTGTAGGTATATTTTTATTGACCTAGAGAATACTCATGATATACTTTCATGTGTAAAGCATGTATAAAATAATCCTTTATGAACATGTGTAGGTAGAAGTGATTTTGATATCCCAAAAGATGTTCAATTAAATATTAAGAGAAGCTATCCATGGACAGAAGAATGGTGGGTGACTGTAACTCCTCCACATCCTTCACATCTTTGTAAATGTTCACATCCTTCTAAACCTTCCTTCATATCCTTCACATCCTTCTAAATTTTCAAAATATTTAAAATAAGTCTGTCCATGTTATGTGGGAAAAGGAATATGATCTTCATTTGTATCAGCTAAAGTTATTTTTTTTTTCAAGTGTACGTACATTTGAAATATTTTATAATTTAAAGTAGGAAAAATTTTAAGCAAAATAGAATAAAACTGACAAATGCACAGAAAAACAAATGTAATAAATATTAAATTTGTTATGTTATACCTGTCTGTTGATTCTTTTCAATTCTTTATCCACAGTTTCATAATTTTTCACAATTAACACATTTTGCTTTTAGAATAATTCTTACAGATAGATTTAAAATGTAATAAATTTGTGGGCTTTTAAAATGGTTTTTATTTAAAGGGAGGAAATGTAAAATTTTTAATTTTTACATCAGAATTTCTCAGGAATTCTCCTGAACACTTCAGATAAATTGCCACATATATCATAAAACTATTTTTAAAGTTACATAGCATTATTGTGACATTCTGCTTGTAACATTTTCTTTAATCTTATTTTAAAAGAACACATTTTAATTTTTAAATGAAAGAATAATGCTGATATTGATCTAACCTTGAAAACACCGGAGGGGTTCACAAGAAAAACTATAGCTTCAGGGCCAGTTGCCATGGGAGTGATCGGCTGAGCTACTTAAAATCTGCTGGCCTCTGCGTTTTCCAAAAGTCTACACAAAGACTTTACAACTGCTTTTAAGACTAGCCAAGATGCTTTGACCAAAAATTTTCCTTTTTGTCTAAATAAAATGCCCTTCACTTGAATTAAAATCCACTGGTCTTCCATAAACAAAAGATAGTCCGCATTTTCTTCAGTAGAACCTTTGAAATACTTTAAAACGTTAAAATTTTCTCCTTTTTCTACTTCTCTAGAGACTGATTTTAAAATCAATGTTTTCATTAACCATGGCTTAGGGGAAAAAATCTGCAAGTTCCTAATCGCTTCATCTTGCTTTCCCCATATACCTCAATAGCCGCCCGATCCCGCATCCGTGTGTGAGGGACTTTTCCTTCCGGAATGTTGCCTCGCCCCCACTGCTGCTGAGATGTTTTTCTCTCTACCACTGAGGCTCCCAATGGCTAGGACAAAGAGGAAATTCGAAAAAATAATGTTAAGACACACTGTTCTTGTTAATAAAGAGCTCTAGATACATCTGATACATTTTGATATGTGTGATATTTACTGTTTTAAAATAGTCTACTGTCTTTTTCAAATTCTAAATCCTACATGATTTCATCAGATCATGAAGCTACATAAGACCTTAAGAACTCACTCAATCCAATCTTCTGGAATCAGGCAATCTACTTGATAACCTGCCTAACAGATACATCAGAATTTACTTGATAATTCTTTAAAAATCAACAGAAAAGGCAACTTCAGTGTCCACAAGCACCTCTGTTTTAAAACAAAATAAATGTCTAATCACTTACATATAAATTGGTCAGATATTTACAAAATATTCTTTAAGTGAAAGTAACACAGTAACAACTCAGAGACACCTACATTATACTGCAATACAAATCACATTAGGTAAGAGTTAGATGTAATTTCAATTTTGATAAATCAGGTAGGACTTTTCTTAAACTGCCTGCTATCTACCTTCCAAATTGTGTCACACAACTGTAAGTTTCCACACTGACTCTTTTTTATATAGATGAAATAGGCAAATCACTTCCATTACTTATCTAAAGGTTGTGGTATAACTAATGCAAACTGATTTGTAAAATATATTTGATATTCTTACTTATATCTTATTAACCATACATCTTATTAACCACAAACATAAATCCCATTCTGCATCAGTTAATGAAAGTGCTCAAAAACTCAAATTTAATTCAAGTTGGAAAACCAGTCCTTTTCTGTGTAACCCAAGATCCTATGTAACTCAGGACCTTGAGAAATATTTAATTTGGGCAGCGGTTGGAAATAACAAACATCTAACTAACAACCAACTTTGTTCACCTATGTGAATGAAAGGTTCTTTTAACAGTTAAGAAGGCAATGAATTAGCTAACAAGGACTCAGGCAAGGAATGGGTAAGAGAATGGGTTGTCAAATCATGTTGACACACTGAATCTTCAATATTTACCAAATCTTTCACAGGAGTGTCTTTGCTGGCATTTTTTTCATTTTGTCTATCTACTGGAAATGTAAGTTCTGCACTATCAATGCTTGATGTCTGTGACATTTCTACCACCAAAACTGGAGAAATACTTGCTTCACAAGAAAGTCCATCTCTCTGAGATGTAGAACAGCTGGAGTAACTTGTGGGGTTTTTATTCAAATTACTATCAGCCATTTGCTTAACTCTGCCACAAAAATAACTTGAAATATGATTTCACTTTTCAAGAAAAAGAACCAGATCACAAAAGATATGGTAGGTTGGTGATGAGAATTGCAACTTCGAATTGGTGAGGTCCTTAGGTTTATAATGCTCTAGACTTGTATTCACACAGGAGAGAGAGCTGCAGAAAAAAAAGAAATTATCACTGAGAAAATTCATATCCTAGAAATTAGTAAAAACTACAAATTTGAATCAAAAGCATTCCCTAAGAGCATGAAAGGTTAATATAACCAATTTGACCACAAACCTGCTGAAAAATATGGTCATTTAAACAGGATCTTATTAAATCAAACTAGTGCAGTATGAAATCAAACTTGGTGAATATCATTTTTTTTGATAGCAGAGATCAAACTTACAACCTCAAGCTTGTAAGGCAGGCGCTTATGCCACTCAGCAAAATCCTCAACCCCGTGAATATCAATTTTTAAGAAAGTAAAACAAAATAGATAATATCAGGGTATTTTGTATAAATGCTTAGTAAGTTCTATGATGGTTTTAATTATACAAATATATATTATAGAATGTCACTGTGGGTTGTAGTAAACAAAAATCTAAAAATAGTGGAGTAAAACATACATTGCAATTGGGTATGGTAGCACACACCTGTAATCCCAGCACTCTAGAGGCTTAAAGCAAGAGAATTACAAATTCAAACCCAGCAGGGGCAACTTAGTAACTTAGTGAGAATTTATCTCAAAATAAAAAATAAAAAAAGGGCCAGGGATGAAGCTCATTGCAAAGGTCATGGTTTCAGTCCTCCATATTACCGCAAAAAATTGCTGTGGCTTCAACATTTAAAGCCATAATCTGTTTCTTAACAAAGCACATTTTTTTTGGTACCAGAGATCAAACTCACGACCTCACACTTGCCAGGCAGGTCCTTAAGCCACTGAGCTAAATCCCTGGCCTCAGAGAACATTCTTATTACAAACTTCACAAAGGAATAAAGTGATTTCATGAAAATACCTAACTCTAAAAACATTTAAAGACAATATTAGAAGTAATGTCATTTTTATACTTACCTTGCAAAAATAGGAATAAGGAGGTGCTATTTTACCCTGGATGCTCAGAATTCTACCAAACTAGGTTCATCTGTATAGAAGCAAGTTGGAAAGATATGAGCTGAGGAAGAAGGAAGGAATGTACTCTGCAGTACTAGTGAATGCCTTTAGAAACTTGCAAAAATAACTAGGAATATATTATTATGGTATTATGGCATAGTATTTCAGATACTCTTTAAAAGTATTATTGTAGTCACTGATTCATAAAATTCGCGATATCTAGACTAAACCTCTATTTTTTAAACTGGGGTAAACTTGGCCAGAACAGAACATTAAATATCTTTACTTCATTAAAGAAATATATTTCTACTCTTAGGTGCCAAAGACTGGTTTTTTAATCAATAATGTTTCATCAAAACTTTATCTATTTTTATTATCACATTTTTATTGGATCTGGATTTGTTGTATTGTATTAAAATCTTTCCTAATATTAAAGCATTCTTGTATTTATACTATGAACCTTATGCACTAACAAGTTTTATTTTGAGTGTTCACAATTACATTCAAGATAACTTGGTCTATAGTTTTCCTGTTCAGCCACCTTTTGTTGGGCTTTGATAAGAGATGCTGACTAAATTTCATAAGATGGATACTTTTCAATTCGTGATGCATGAATTCACAGGAAAGTCTGCTACGCCCATAAATCTTATGACAGATATTTCTATGCTTAGCCTATGTTTACTATCTCATTATTCCTTACTAAAAGAATCCTGATTTTGTTTAGGGTGGCAGTGCGCTAACTAACATCTTATACTTACAAATTAGAGATAACAATATGATTTATAGCAAGGAATGTAGCAAAACCTACTTGAAAACTTATATTCCTAAACTTTATTAAAGTCCTAAAAAAAGGGTAAAAATATACCAAGTGGGCAAATAAAACAGCAGGAAAAGTTAGTAAGGAAACAAAATTTGAGGCTCTACATAAATGGACTCCTCACTCTCCAATTTCATGTCTTACCACTTCGTGTCTCTATCTTTGTCTCTGTGTGTCTCTCTCCATTTCTGTCTCTCTCTGTCTGTCTGCCTGTCTGTCTCTCTCTCTTCCACCACCCTGAATGTACTAGTCTACTTGTTGTTGCTTGACTCCTCCAAGCAAATCTCTCTTCAAGACCTTTGCCCTCTCTTCTTCTGCCTATGTTGCTCTTCTCTCAAAGTTATCGGCTCCCTCGCTTCACTGTGGTCTCTTCTCATTCAAGATGCCTTTTCTACACACTTGATCCAAAAGAGGTGTGTTCACTCAATTGTCTCACCTTACTCTCTTTATGGCTCTTATCATTTCACTCAGCAAGTTTTACAGTGGAACACTTTCACTTTTAGTGAACACATGATTCCCATATAAACTTTCAAAGCAATGCAGAGCCATCTAGCTCATTTTATTCCACTAGAATAACAGAAAGCTAACATGGCAGAAATCCCAAAAGGGAGAAGAGTTTCACTAGATAATCTCATTTGTGAATAAATGAAAAAATACCAGATGTCAAACTTGTATTTATCCCAGGTGATGTATACGGGTTATTCCAAGGTTATTTAGACAGAAATAATAGACAAGTCAGTCCAGTAAGTATGAGCTCTCATCAGAGTAGTGAGAACTTTTCTGTCATTAAAATTCCTAATGGCAAGCATAAAGAAAGGTGCATTAATAAGTTCTTTCCAAACAGGCAGAGGGAGAAAAGAATGCACCTGAAGCCCCTGAACACATGCACATGCACGCACACATGCACACACGCATTCATATGCACACACGCATTCATATACCCACCTCTTACAAATGTTTTCCCTTGTTTTTCAAGTAAATGTAGCAGCACAAAGACAGCTCTGAATGTACCCATATACACTTTGCAACATGATTTAACTTCAAGTCTAGAAGAAAATGCTTTGCATTTCAAGTTAAATATAAAGCCTGTAACCATCACTGACTCAGAGCAGTGGAACAGATCTGTAAATAATAGCCTTTATGTTTAGGAAAAATACTACTTTCTCTTTGCAGGATTAGAAACATTTCATGTCAGATGTGTAAGGCATCATTCTACACATGCATTAAGAATATGATTTTATGGCACTTTTTTGTAAGAAAGTATAAGAACTGTTAATAATAAAGATTTATTTAAATACTAATGAGTTACTTCATTATAAGTAAATACTCCTAAAAGCATACTTACAGACTTACAATTTATTAAATTTCTACTTTTGTTCTGCTATGGGTTACAATATACACACATATGTATACTTAATATTAACCACTTACCAGACATGTGCTTTTTAATTATTTTTCCCTGTCCTAGGTTACCTTTTCATCCTGTTGTTGCCTTTGTTATGCAGAAAATTTTTAGTTTGATGTAGCTCCATCTAGTGTGGTATCGAAAAAAGTCATTGTCAGGACACTTTTCTTTTGTTTTCTTCCACAAATTTTATGGTTGGGATCTTACATTTAGATCTTTTATATATTTTGAGTTGATTTCGGTATATGATGTAAGATTTGACCAAATTTCATTTTTATGCACATGGAAATCTAGTTTTTTCAGGACCGTATGTTGAGAAGACTACCCATTCCTCATTGTGCCTTCTGAGTGCTCTTGTCAAAAAGTAGTTCCCCATACTTGTTTGCATTTATTTGTGGGTTCTGTTTTGTTGTATGGGTCTATGTTCCTGTTTTCATGTCAGTATGATGCTATTTTAATTACTATAGCTCTGTGATATAATTTTAAATCAGGAATTGTGATGACTCCAACTTTGTTCTTTCTTGTATTATTTCAGTTATTTGAGGATTTTTTCTTGGTAGTGCCATACAAATTTTAGAACTCTGTTTACATTTCTGTGAAGAATGCCATTAGAATTCTGATAACAAATGTGATAAATCTTTATACAGTTTTGGGAAACATGCATGCTTTAACAATATTAATTCTTTCCATGAACATAGGGTATCTTTCCATTTGCAGTATCTGTGACCTTTTAAATTCCTTTCATCAATGCTTTTTAGTTTTCAGTGTACAAATCTTCTGTCTATATTTATTAACAGATGTTTAATGCTACCATAAATGCAGTTTTGTCTTTATTTCTTTTCCAGATATATCATTACTAATGTATAGAAATCATACCAATTTTGAGTTGAATTTTTATCCTAAAAGGCTCCCAAATTTATTTATTAGTCCTAACTATTTTTTATAGAATCCCTGGGGTTTTCTACATATAGGACCTTGTTAGTTGTAATAAAATTAAATTACTTCTTCCTTTCTGATTTAGATGCCTTTTATTTCTTTTTCTGAAAAGAATCTCTTGATGGTATGTTCAATCAATTTTGAATAGAAATGGTGAGAGCACCTTTTACCAGATCTTAGTAAAAAGGATTTCAGTTGTTTCCCATTGATTATGGTATAAGATTAGATTCCTTGCATCTTTCTTATATTGAAAAACTTTCCTCTTGTACCTAAACTCCTAAGATTATTTTATCAGGAAAAAAATGCTAAACGTTTATCACACTGTTGAGATTATCCTGTGATTCTTATCTTTCATTCCACCAGTGTGACATATAACACTGTTCAGTTTGTAAATGTTAAGCCAGTCTTGCATGCCAAAGCAAACACCACTTGGTCACAAGTACAATCTTCTTGATGTGTTGTTGAACTCATTGTGCCAATATTTTATTGAATGTTTTTGTACTGATATTCATCAGAAATACTGATCGTAGTTTGCTTTTTCTTTGGTATCTTTGACTGACTTAAGTATCAAAGTGATATAAGCCTTGTAAAATGTGTTTGGAGGTATTCTCCCTTGCTCAGTTTTTTGGAAAAGCTTAAGAAGTATTGGTAATAATTATTCTTTGAGTGATTGGTAGAACTCAGCTGTGAAACCATATGGTTCAGGAATTTTCTTTGTTGGAAGATTTTTAATTACTTCCTCTACTCTTTGTTATAACCTAATTTTTAAAAATGAGCAAAATCTACTGAAAATTTTTCCAAATAAAACATAAGACAGCCAACAGGCATGTGAAAAGGGTACTTCACAACATTAATTATAAGGGCAATGCAGATTAAATCCATAACAAGATATTACCCTACTATCCATAAGGATAGCTGGCTTTGTTGTCTGCTTGTTTTAGTATATTTTCAGTACTAAGAATGAACCCAGGGCTTTCACAATGAGCTGCACCCTCATCTCCAGTCTCTCTCTCTCTCTCTCTCTCTCTCTCTCTCTCTCTCTCTCTCTCTCTCTCTCTTGTTTTGAGACAGTTGTTTAGTTGCTCAGGCTGAGCTCAAATTTGCAATCCTCCTGCCTCACCCTCTCAGAGTAAGGGATTACAGGTTTGTGATACTATGCATGGCTAGAGACAACTATCATTTTAAAAAGAGATAACAAATGTTGATGAAGATATGGGGGAAAAAAGGAGCTCTAATCTGCTGTCGGTGGGAATGTAGATTTTTATAGCCATTATGGAAGACAGTGAGAAGTTTCTAAAGAAATTAAAAACAAATCTATTAATATGACTTAAAAATACCACCTTACTTTGTACACACATAAAAAAAGCGATAAAGCCAGAAGGATCACAAATTCAAGTCCTGCCCAGGCAACTTAGCAAGACTATGTCTGAAAAAAATAAGATGGACTGGGATATAGCTCAGTGCAAAGGCCCTGGGTTCCAAGGAGAGAGAAAGGAAGAAAATGGGGAGAGTAGCTGAGAAGAAGAGATGAGAGGAAGGGAGTGAAGAGAAGAGAAGGGAGAGAAGGGAAAGGAGGGAAGGGAGAAGAAAGGAAGGAGAGAAGGGGAGGGGAGAAAGGGAAAGGGGAAGGGAGGGGGAGGGGAGGGGAGGAGAGAAGAGGAGAGGAGAGGAGAGGAGAGCAGAGGCAAAAGAGAGAGGGAGGGAGGCAGGATATCACCACCTCATAAAGATACCTTTACTTCCATGTTCACTGTAGCATTATTTACAATAGCCCAGCTATGAAACACCTTAAATGTCCACTGAGAGAAGCACGGATAAAGAAAATAAGATATGTGAACATGATTCAGCCTTTTAAATGGACATAGTGCCATTT